CTAGATTTATACACACACACACACACACACACACACACACACACATATGGGAGGCTGAGGCAGGAGGATCGCTGTGAGTTTGAGACCAGCCTGGGCTACATAGTGAGCTCCAGGTCAGCCTCAACTACATAGTGAGACCCTGTCTCAAAAAAAAAAAGGAGGAAGAGAAATGCCTGTGTCTGGCCAAGCTTAAGCCTCAGATCATTCTGAGGGCCTAACAGCAAAGAAATAAGAACATTTATTTCTTTTCTTACAGACTGAAATTTAGTAAGAGTAGGAGAGAAGTGCCCCCTGCTGGCAAAATCTTACATGGCTTTGTATTTGGATTTCTGGGATCTAGTCATTCATGTCCAACCCTTTATAAATGGATACAAGGTGAGTGCACCATCCATTATAAACTTTATTGATCAGTTAGCTGCTTGGCTATTTTCTCTAAAATAGAAACTAAACCTCATCTAAAACCACTGGAGCTTGTTGCTTCCAACAAAATGGCAGCAGCCCTTCACTTGTACCTAACAGCCAGTTCACAGGAGAGCAGCTGAGAGGCAAATGAGTACAACAGAGATAAGAGAGGCCCCAGTGGGAGGAAAGGCCTCACTGTTCCCCCAAGCTTTCGGCTTCATACCCACTTCTCAGGACTAAGAGAAACATAGAACTGGACCAGAAAAGACAGCATACCTGATCTGCCAAGAAGCCCATCACACATAAGCTTTTGGTGACAAAGACACTAATCTTGCCAAAATTTAAGAGGAATACACAAAGAAGGGAATTTGACACATGGACATGTAATTCAGGTGTCCTTAACTGAGCCTTTTGTGGTACACAGAGAAGGCAGTATCATGGTTTAGCGGTACTAAATGTTCTACACTGTTGCCAAGGTAACAGCAAAGTTCAGATTGCAAGAAAGAGGTTAAACATAGTGGAAAAATCACTACATTTAGAGCCAGGAGAACTAGATTAGAGCACTAACACTTTTGCTCACTATCTGTGAGATTTTTGGAAAGTCATTCAAACTTTCAAAGCCCCAGTTGCATCATCTGTAAAATGAAACTATTAATACTTGTCCCCCCTCCAAGAGTTAGTGTGAGGATCAAATGTGATGAGCTATGTGTGAAGTATTCAGGTTCTTTTATCTTCCGGTAAGCTTTACATGACAGTTCAACTAATACACCTGAGATAGGCACATATTCCTTATATTCTAAATATATCCAAATTCAAGAGGTACAGATTCCAAGCAATCAAGCACCTAATAGATAATTCTTCTCAAAGCTACTAAAAGGAATGGAGTATTACTTACCTGGAGTTATCAAAGTGCCAAAGGCACTCTCCCTGACTTTCTCAGAAGAGTGGGCTCAGGTCCAGGGATGGTAAACTCAATTAGTATGAAAGGACAGTAGTTATGAGATAAGGCTGTGGAGTCAGATAATATGGGCTCAAATTCCAGCTCTCCCACTCAGCAGGTGAATGACACTGAGCAAGTTAATCCATGCCTCAGTTTCCCTAGTGAGATGCAAGATGATAATACCAACTCTAAAAGGTTACTATGAGGATTAACTAAGTCTCAAAAGTACTTAGAACCAAGCATGGTGGTATACATCTATAATCCCATCTACACAGAAGGGTGTGGCAGGAGAATCACAAGTTGAAGGCCAGCCTTAAATTTAGCAAGACCCTACTTCAAAATAAAAGAAAAGGACTGAAGATTTAGCCCAGTGGTACTGAGCCTGCCTTGCAAGTGCAAGGTCGTGAGTTCTATCCCCAGTACTAATAAATAAATAAATAAACAAATAAATAAATAAATAAATAAAATAAGAAAAAAGACTAGGGATGAATTTCACTGATACACTACTTTCCCAACACAGTTTCAATCCCTAGCACAAGGGGAGGAGAAGAAAGTCAGAATTAGGTACCTGGAATAAACACTATGCAAATGTCTACACAGTTCAACAAATGATTCCCTGCTATATGGTTATTGTTTCCTATCTATAAAGTAATATAATGTTAGTTGAATCTTTTTAACATTAAGGCTCAAGGAAAGAATCTAACCTAAACACACAAAAGAACAGCATCTTTATTTTTAGTTTTTGTTTGTTGTATGCTGGTGATGAACCCAGGGCCTTGCACATGCTAGACAAGCACTCTGTCACTGAGCTTCACTCCAGCCCTCTAATTGTATTTTTAGTGGAGAAGTGAACAGTGGGTTATATCATGAGAACTCTGTAAGTATTTCAGACTAGAAGTCTTCCTCATTGGGCTCAAATGGGATCTCAAATGTTCCCATTTCTCCCACTTGAAGCTAAAGACAGTACTCATAAAAAGATAATTTGTAATCTGTAATAAGCAAATAAAACCTGAATTTTTAAAGGCATCTGATTTAGGAATCTCTTAGTGCTTTCACATAGTATTAATGAATACTGTCCATTTAACTACCTCTAACAGCAATCACATAGAGAGGAGAGATGTTATTATTAAAAAGTCTAGGAGAAGACGCAGATTTTTAAAAATGTTTTCTATTACTACATAATGGTTCAATAACCTACTTTACCTCTCTCAGCCTTCCTGCTACTATACAGACACACTTCTCTAAGAGAAAGCAATGAATGGATGATGACCAGTAAGGACAGCATATCTGACCTATTTTCCTGTTTTTGTTTTTTTTAACCAAAAAGCTCACCTTAAAGTAGCTTTGGGTAACAATGACACTAGGCTTAACAAACACTGAACTGAAACACACCAAGAAGAGAATCGGACACAAAATCCAGTGGTTATTAGCTGATAGTTTTGATTCAACTCAATATTTTCTCAAATATTTACTAAGAAATTATCCATAGGGCTGGGGATTTAGCTCAGCGGTTCAGTGGCTTGCCTTGCAAGTGCAAGGACCCAAGTTCAATCCCCGGTACCAAAAAAAAAAGAATTGACTAATGAGTTAGACATATGTAGTACAAATTTAATAAAAAACACATTAAAATATATTAATGACAAAAACTTAAAAAACCATAAGTGATGTTAAAGAAAAGATCAAGCACAATCCTGATTAAGACAATCTGAAAAGGTTTCATGAAGGAGGTAGCATTCAATCAATCCTCAAAGAGTAAATGTGATTATCTTTTTGTTTCATTATACTCAGTTTAAAATTTTATTATGAAACTAGTATATGATCACTGTGGAGAATTTCTAAAAATTCAAAAATTACAAGGAAATAAAACATCTTGCAAATGCAGCAAATGCAGTAACCATTTCAGGTAATGGATACATTTCTTTCCTTGAAATCCAAGAGAAGCTTTGAGGACCTAAACAAAAGTAGAAAAAGTAAGTTACAGGAGAGAATGGATAGATATAAAACACCATTCTATGCTGAAATAGAACTGGATTCTTGAACACAAAGAAGACAAAAGTGACCAAGTGACTGTAAGGGCACTGAGATATATTGAGAAGTTCACTGAAATAACCACAACTGGAGGAAGATATATTTTGTGGAGATTATGACTTTGGTTTTGGACATTTCTTAGTCTGTTTGAGCTGCCATAACAAATTGCCATAGATGAGGAGACCTAAATAAAAAACTTTTATTTCTCACAGTTCTGGAACCTGTAAGCCCAAGATTAAGGTACTGACAGATCCAGTTTCTGATAAAGGATTACTTTCTGATGTGCTCTCTGTGTGACTGTCTTCTTATATCCTTACCTTGTTGAAAGAAAGCTAGCTAGATTTCTGGCTCTTTTTTTGCAAGAGGGCCAGCTCCATCCTCATGACTGAATTACCTCCTAAAAGTCATACCTCCAAATACAGTGGGGTTAGAATTTCAACATATAAATTTAGGGGAGACACAAATGTTCAGTCTATTGTAGACATTTTAGAATTGGGGTGCTAATGAGACATGTAGGTGTCTGGAAATGTAAGTTGATAGTATAGATATTAGAACTAGAAGTATAGAACTGGAGGTCATTGTTATAGCATTGAGTGTTGAAACTGTAGAAATAATTATTGAGGCAGCTAGCACAGGCAAAACAAAATCATATTAAGATTACAGCCTTTATGAAGACATATTAAAAAGGCAAAAGTAGAGGCGTGGTGAAGA